GTTATTCGTTAGATTAACGTACAAAAGAAAGAGGCCTTTATAAAGCTAAAAGATGAGCTACAGCACTTGAACTTCATTTCAAGAATGAGTTGGTTAGGGTACCAGATCTCAAGAGAGAGGGTTATAAATATTGGTGGTAGTGCTGAGAGAAAAACACCTCTCTCTAAGGGGCCAATGGATCCTTTTTTCACCCCTAGCCCCGAAATTGTGGTTCAGGAGAGAAAGAAAAAAACAAAACAAACCACAATTGACAATAAATATAAGAAAGAACAAAGGAAGTCGGTATGTTAGTGGATTGCAAAGTGGATTTACATAGCCGGTATTACTTTTAATACTAAAAATCTGGATAATTTTGCATGTATGGTCCAGGCAATTGGGCAAGATGGCCCAGGACTTATTCCTCCTTCACTACATGAGATTAGGGAGCCCTTGTTGAAGGATGTATTTGATGTGAATAAAATTTTGATTTCTCAGAGAGAAGGGTGGGAAAAATATGGGGCCACTATTATGTGTGATGGTTGGTCCGATGGGAAATCAAGGGCATTCATTAATTTTTTGGTTAACTGCCCAACAGGTACTTTTTTTGTTAAGTCTATTGATGCATCAGACAAGTCACATGATGGTATATACTTATCTGGCTTGATGGGTGAGATTGTCAATTTTGTTGGGGAGCAAAATGTGGTACAAATTATCACTGACAATGGTGCCAACTATGCTGCAGCTGGGCATTTCTTGACTTTGGAGAGGAAGCATATGTTTTGGACACCTTGTGCAGCTCATTGTGTTAATCTTATGCTTAAGGAAATGGGTACAACATCTTTATTTAGTGGGGTGATTTCAAGAGCTATGTTTGTTGTTGGATTTATTTACAATCACACCATAGTCCTAAGCATGATGAGGTCTTTTACAAAGATGAGAGAATTAGTGAGACCGGGTATCACTAGATTTGCCACGTCATTTCTCACTCTTTGAAGCCTAGCCAAGCAAAAAAGTGCCTTGAGGACCATGTTTGCTTCAGAGCAATGAAGTCAAAACAAATGGTCAACGCATAAGGATGGAAGAAAGGCTGAAAAAATTATTTTGAATACATCTTTTTGGAGTCAAATAATTATTGCATTGGAGGTCGCTTGCCCTTTAGTGAGAGTGCTTCGACTGATTGATGGTGATGTGAAGCCTGCTATGGGCTACATACATGAGGCAATGACTAGGGCAAGAACTGAAATAAAAGATGTTTTAAAGGATGATGAAAATATACACAAGGCTATGCTTGAAATTATTGATAGGAGATGGGATACCCAGCTTCACAGGCACCTCCATTCAGCCGATTATTTTCTAAACCCATCTCTTCACTACAAGCACCCATCCATTGAGTCAGATCGTGTAATAAATGGTGGGTTCTTAGATGTGCTAGAGAGGTTGGAGCCAGACAAAGATATCCAGGATGAGATCCAGAGCCATGAATTGATTAAGTTCAAGTTAGCCTTGGAAAACTTTGGGAGAGATATTGCCACTCGAAATAGGGACACTACAGATCCAGGTAAAGGCCAAAAGCCCAAAAATAATCTTACTTGTCTCTTACTTTATGTATACTTCCATTGTTTATTTATACCCTTAATTTTTAACTATATTCTAAATTATAAAATATTATACAGCTGCATGGTGGGCATTATATGGAAGCGAGACACCAAATC